ACCATAAACACTAAAAAAAAAAAGACGAATTGTGCCCCATTCCCAGTCCATTCCGGGCAAAAGGCACCTAATTCCATTCCCATTCCATTCCCCTCAACGTTGCCGCCATTCCATTCCCATTCCATTCCGGGGTCGTGAAAATGCGGGATGATTCCGGAATCATTCCAATTCCGGAGTGGCAACTCCGCAACACTGTTGTTGACCTTCCACCCTGCATGCACTTGCGAGATATTGCCGGACGACGGTGACCACAGAGAGTCTGACCGTAACTCGCCGTCGCTGGAGCTGGTCACCAGCGGATCGCAGTCAAAATGAACAGCTTCCAACATCTCTTGATAGCAATCACTCTCATCGCTGCTGCGATCAATGTTGAACACTTTGACAAGGCGAGCAGTGCCCTAGACGTAATCGTCACGAACCACATGCTCGAAACGCGGAAGGTAAACGAGGAAGCTGAAGCTCGAGACTCCCAAGAGAGGCAAGTCTGCGAGTGCGTGCAAGGGGGCGCCGCACGGGAGGCTGGCTAGTTCACCAGCCTCCCGCTCCGCCTGGATCCGCCCCTTCGAGGGACCAGCATATAAATCAATTTATCCACGAAACTATCGCGCCATTTTCAAAACAAACTTAGCAGAATTATAGGAACGTACAATGGGTCCTAGCAGTATTGTTTTCTCATATTTTACTTTTGGCGTGTCATAACACCTTTAAAAGACGTTCACAACGTTTCAAGGTCGACTTGAACCTTTTCTTCTGGGGGTGACTAAGTGGAATGGGGCAGCAACAGCTTCGACCTCTTCCTTTTCTACCTTCAAGCATCTGCATTGACTCGCTGCATTGCATCGCGTCACGCTGCATCATGCAGCGCATCACCTCCCCATTTCCTTGTTTGAAGGGTGGCAAAGGCAACTTGTAATCACATCTCGTTGCAAGCGGACACAGCGCAGCCAAACGCTAATGTCTGAACCAGCCTGTTGAGATATTAGCATTTGGATAAAGTCTGATGCAAAATCTGATGCAAGTGCTCCGGGGCCCCCTGCCTTCTGACAAATTTCACTCTTTCAGAGCAGTTTAGCAGAGGCGTTTTAGAAGACAGACTGCCCACTGCAGTGACATAGCTTTGCATCCAAGCCCTTCCACGCTTCCATATATATATATATATATATATATATATATTTTATTTATTTTTTATTTTTTTACCAATAACTGCATTAGATAGAGGAAGTGAAGTATAATTAGAATTATTTGTTTTGGAGGTTTATTTTGGAATTAAATCAGAGTGTTGTTCGGAGTTTATTTTTGATTATCAGTTCGGAGCTTTCATTTGTGGTTTCACAAATTTCTGAGCTTTTTGGTGAGGCGATTAAAAGGTAGAAAGAGCTGCTTGCGAATTTATTATATGTGAGACATATTCAACTGCAGTCGTGGAGATGCTACCTCATTTTCGTCATAATGAGAAAACATTTTTGGTTATATCTACAAACAGAAGTTCTCTCTAAGTAAATGACAAATGCAAAACTTGTTAGAATTTTCCAGGGAAATGCAAAGACCGGTCAGGGTCATAATAGCTGGCGGTTCGAAAATTTGGAGTTCGCCGACTCAGATAAATCTGAATTGGCAAATGTTTTACGGTCGATTGTGTTTTGCGTTTTATCAGATTTATTCAAAAATGCAGAACCCTATGTATAACACGTTCTGTGCTAAAAGCAATATTTGAATATAGCTAGGCCTTGATTAAAATAAGAGAAGGAACGAAAATTTTGTATGAAAATTAATTTCATAGTCTCTAATCACATCATGTTAAATTCACTTTTTATTACAGGGTGTCTAGCGACCGGGAAAGCCGGGAATTGTCAGGGAAATTTTAAGTACCGGAAAAATTCAGGGGAATTGTCAGAGATATTGTTAAAAAGGCAGTCCAGTTTGGAAAACTAAGTCGGAAATGCCATTGAGTTTCCTCAGCAAAAAATATATTACTTGGGGGCAGAAACATAGGCAATACATTCTGCTTAGAGCTGAGCACGGGCTCTGCTCAGCCGATGTAGAGTCTGCTAAATGACGCAAAGGGAGCAGCCAATAAATCTAGTCCAAGCCTTGCCTTGCTTTGGATTATTTTAGATTGGATTGAGGGCATGACACTAGGCTAGATCCAGTTAGAGCTACTAGATTTAGTAACAAATGGGAAAGCCGCAGACCCCAATTCAAGCCTTAAGCCAAAAGTGTGAAAGTGTGCATCTGGCGGCCATGTTTTCATTGTGTTTCCGGTAGTGGCCTCTTCACTGACGATGTCGGCGGCAAGAAAGTGCTTGTTTAATCCAGACTGGATGAACCCGAATATTTCGGAATATGCAAGTTGGATTAAGTCCGTGCAAAATGACCCTCACGGTGCTCAATGCTCAGTGTCTTGTGTTTTAATGGTGTTATATATTTAACTTCCTGTACAGTGGTACCGAAAATTGTCAGGAAAAACCTGGAAACGTCAGGGAATTCGAAATTAATATTTTGCTAGACAGCCTTATTAACATCCTGCAAACCTCCAAAAGTGCCAACTGCATATCTCTATGTGGCTTCCACCTATGCTGCATTGCAAGTGGACGCTTGAAATGTCAAGCTTCATCCCTTCACGCTGGCTTCCTTGGAGGAGTGCCGTATGCCCTCCTTGGTAGACTTGGTGGACTGAAATTTTGCTCCTTCCCACATGTCGACCCTATGATAATAGGTTGGCCCTTACTTTTAAGTTCTTTTAAATAACGCTTAATAAAAAATGGTAACTACCGTATAAGCTCGTGTAAGGGCCGCACTATTTTTGCCCGATTTGAGGGCAAATTTTAAGATGTGGGCCCATACACGAATAAAAAAAAAATCTGTACCCACATTTCGAAATGAACATACATGAGCGCGCCCGGCTGCACTGGTCGAAAACGCTTTCACTCCGGAATCCGGACTAAATCGTCAGTCGGATTTAATTAGTTTTCATACTGCGCAATACACAACTTTTTTTTTGTACTTGATAGCATGCGCAGCAACTTTCGACTTGAATCCCGTATGACTGTTGAAGTGGTACTTGCCCATAGCTCTCATTGCACGAAAAGGCAGACAAATCACGACGCTTTGACACGAACTAAAGAACCAAAGAAAACCTACCCAGAGCGTACAGTGGCGTTCAAAAACCTGAGGGCACGCGCGAACCGAGCCCGCTGAATCCCCATTCCTCGCGCTTGCCACGGAAGCTGACATATCCTTCATCTTTTCTCAATGTCTTCCGGCCGCAACATAAACGCATCCCGACGGTGCGGCCAAACATGATCGAGGTCGGCAACCATTGTGCCATACGGTGATACGGATGAGTGGAGAGCAAATATCGGGGACACGGAGACGTGCCGCTACGTGCTCAGGCGGTGGCTAGTGCCACCTAGCGATATATTTATAGAAACTTTCATGCATTGCAGTCGGCGCGCCTCAGAAACAAGGGGGTGCGGTGCATACATGAATAATTTCTCTTATTTTATTTTGAAATATTTTGTCCTAAATACGGGGGTGCGGCCCTTACACGCGATTATACGGTACTGTTTAATAAGTATTTTAATTGCTTGTGTGAGATAGTTCTATCATCATATACATGGAAGGTCATTTTCTGCTTGGCAGAAAATCTTTCCTCGGTATATAAGCCTACAGCACAAAAACAAAACAAGTACACAGAGAGAGTGCACCGTCCTTGTTATTTTGTTTCCCTATCTTTTTGTGTATTCATTCCGTTTTTGCACTGTAAGCTTATACGATGCATCACCAACTTGCTCAAGCTACCACCTTCTCCTCAGTGTCGTTTCCCCCTTCCTTCTGGCTGTGTTCGTATTTCCAAAAAAAGCTGGTGAGGGAGTTTATCTCCTCAGAAAAGAAAACAGGCCTCATACTTTATGGGAGAAGGTAGAAATTTAAAGGGGCCCTGCAATCTTATTTAAGCGTCTACCTTTTTTGCGGTTTCCACGTCTCTTGGGGTTCGGGCAAGCCAGCGGGCACGGAGAGAGTAACTAAATATCAGTGCGTCATATTTTAACCGGACGACGCGGAAACCTCCTCCACCGACGAGGGCGACCCGCGGTATCGAAGGCACGCAAAATGTAACGTCTTTCATCCTGGACTTACCACTGGTCAGAGCCGCTAAAAGCTTCTTTTTAGTCGAACTACAAAATAAAAGTGGCACAAACCGTTTCAATTACTTATAAAAGTAGTTTTTGTTCACTATTTTCGATGAGAAAAGAAACAGATGCTGTTTATAAAGTGCTGAAACAAGAAATGACCCGTCGACATACCCGCCACCAAGCGGTGGAAAAGGCGGCGCATACTAGAAAAGAGTAGTGGGATCAGGCGCCGACACGGAAAGGTCCCGGATGTACGCGGCGGCGCTGTGGTCGTATGGATATGAGGATCCGACCGGCTCCGAGCGTTCCGAAGGCCTTCGGAACGCTCGGAGGTTTGGCCGTTTCGCGGTATGGCAGCGCGAAGTGGCTCCCATTCTGAACTGATCTTTACCTCGTGTTTGCTGTCGTTTGTGGCCAATCAAGTGTCCTTCCGAATTAGTGTTTAATAGCGCAGCAAATTCAATGAGAGCCGCTCTGGTTGCCCGCTGCATACAGCCTAACCAGAACATGCTTTAGTGGCACCCTCTCGCGCCGTCGACACGGAGTGTGGCAGCCGTGAGCTCCCGCGATGAGCCCACTACCCCTTCCCTAGTTCAAGGCCACTCAAGCAATCAAGGACGTCATGAGGAAGCGTATTTTTTGCTTGTTTCTGCAATTTTAATTTCCCTATAACTTTTAAAACAAAGCGAATTTCGAAAAAAGAAAAGTTTCACTAAGTTACTACGTTCAGTGCGCTCAGGTTCGGTGCAAATTAAAAACCAGTAAAAAAAGTCCTTGCAGGGCCCCTTTAAGGGCTCTTCCTTCCTTTCTGTGTATATGTCAGGTCTAAGCATCGAATCACATGCATTCCATTTCTACTTTCAGCCATTTCTGGAGCACGGTGACATGGAAGCACTGATGGATGCAGGCACGCACTCCATATTCGTTCGGGACATCAGCAGAGCGCTATGGCCGGATAACCTGAGGAACAGAAGCCTCGCAGGGACCCCCTGCCGTCGTCTTTTGAAAAGTGGCGCATTGGGAAGGCGAGCCCTGACTCCTCAAAAACTGAAATATATTCGCCGTAAGTAAGCATTCTTTTACTTTCATTTAAAAACGTTAGTCACTTCCTTTCTTTTGTCTGCCTTTTCGAAGATTCAAAGTATTTCTTCTAGCGTCAGGGCGGTCCATTTCCTACACATCGTCGTGCGTAGTAGTGCGCCGCAGTGTGCCAGCACGTGCTGCAAAAGTGTGGATCCGGAGACAACCAGAGGGTTTCGAGCATTGAGCTTGTTAACTTTTGCAAAGACAGGAGCGAGCGCGACAGATCAATGGCAGAGGCACGGAGAGAATGCAGGTAATAGCAGAGCAGGAGTTGGCAGGAAACTGAACATCGTCATTCTTTTATGGAACAAGAAAGACAGAAAGGGGAATCAAAGTAGAAAGAGAGAAGAGCGGTGGCGCAAGGGGAGAACGTAGGACGTACTGTTCTAACGATGGGGACGAATCTCTGGAATGTTTCGCTGCTGCTGCTTGGCAGACTCGCGTGCCTGTGTGCACCTGCATTGTTTGGTTCTCAGTGTTTTCCCGCAGGTCATCGTATGAGGAAGGACAGGTGAATATCTCAACGTGTAATACGGACATTGCTTTTATGGGGAGCTAGCCAGGACTGTGTTAATTCATTGTGAAATGCAGGACGTCGCATAAACCAGGGATGTGTAATTGAGGTTTCCCTCTAATGTGGGTCGCACAGCTACTGCGTGGAAAAATCTCAACTCCCAGCTGTTGAGCTTTCCTTTGAAAGCTCTGGGTTGAGGTATCATGTCTGCCACTTTCCAAAGTAACTGTGTGAGCCAAAGGTTGTAATACCTTTCCACATATGCAAAAAAATATACTTTTCGTGGCAGCACTGGTCAGCTGAAGGGACTGTTTTCCGCCCACATGTCCATAAACCCTGTACGAAGAGCCTTTTGTAGGCATACAGATTGGTTGCCACTTGTCATGACAGCACTAAGTATTGCTGTTTTCCCTCCAAGACAGTATTTTCCAGGAGGTCAGTTTCGTGGCGGTGGCATCACAGCTTTTTCAGGCCCAACAGTGGTACAGCGAAAAGGGCACATTTTATGCCAGCAATTATTTATTTATTTTTTTTATTTTAAAAATACTGCCCATCCCCATTAGGGTATGGTACAAACAAAATCAAGCAGGTATCGGTACAAATAAAAACAACACAAAATTTTTGAGGCGCGCAAAAAAGGGTAATTTTTACTCAAAGTTCAATGAAGTTTGAGGCATCATACACTAAATGCATTTGCAGTGACCGTTCTCTACAGGCTTCGACAGTGAAGTAAATAAAAGGCAAATTGTGTTGAGTTCGTTGAGACAGCGAAAGGTCAGTCTCCCTCAGATTGGCTCTAAGTTTTCTGCCGTAAATGAGCCATATAACCAGTGCAGCATGACTGCTAGCCTGGGGTCTTTAACGTGAATCGCAGAGCAGTGATTACACGTATGCGCGCCAGTACGATGCTCATCCATATTGAAACGGGTAGGGCAGGGATCGAACCAGGGATCCCTGGGTTCTTCATCGCGAGCTTTCGCTCCACATGCTCCAAGCTAAGACGCGCTAGGCCACTCGGCCACCGTTTTTCCCCGACAGTGAAGTCGGGATTGATAAATTTATGTAGTTATAAGGCATGAAATCAAACATCACAATCAAAAAACCCGTACCCCTATTGTTAGGGGCTCTGATGCCTCATTTTCAATGAGCAAGCGTCATGCTTTCATGTATAGATTGTTTTATGGTGAGTGGCACGATTTTGAGACTGAGAGAGAAGATGGGAAAGGGGGGGAGGGGCTACCGGGACTTTCTCACTTGCTGGTTTGTTAGAAAGAGGGGAAGTCCCGGATGAGAGTCTTCGCCCGTGTTGATTGTATGCATTGCGCGAACTTCGTTCGCGCTTTCTTCTCTGTTTTAAACTCCCAAACTTAATTAGAGCCACGGGCTTCACTGAAGACAGTCCTGCGGTCATTGAGCCACCATTTCTCGGTTATAGGGTGCACAAAAACTACAAAAAGCGACAAATACTCTCCGAGGATCTATGTAGCTTGCACGGAATCCGGCAATGCGAGTGTGGCTGCAGTGTCTTGAAGCTCCATCGCTTTCCACATGACCCCGATCTCCGGTGGCAGTGGGTTGCATCCATAAACCGAAAAGACCTTTCCGCAACGCCATCCTCTGTGCTCGGAACATTCTGTGAATGGAGCGTGCACCGAACTTAACGTTGTACCGTCGATAAACATAGGGTACGGTCGCAAGGGTGCATGCAAGTTTTCTCGTGATAATTGCTGTTTCACCTTGTAACTTTTTGTAACTGAGTTGATCTTAATATTGATATTTTGAAGTGGTGACACTTACTCGATTTTATCATCTACAGAACTTTGTTAAAGGCTAATTTCCACCGCCGGGAGTGCCTGGATATTGTCGAAAAGTTAGTTGTATCAGTTTTCTTGAATCGCAATCTCCTGCGTGATACCAGAGCGCCGTGAACTCATGCTGGCCATCACAATGCGACTATATTCTTCTTATTTTCTAAATTTTACACATTGTAGCTGGAAATAAACCTTCAATTTCTGTTGCTGAAAGTTGAAACATGCTCACGCATCGATTTTGGATCGTTGAATCATTGATCGACTTTTTCAGCAATAGACCCATCTCATCTTTGCTATTTTCAGTTCTCCACAAAACACACTCGTCGACACGTTTTATTTGAGGATCCTGTGTCAAGAGTGTGTCTTTTTTTCGAAAACTGAAAACGGCAAAGTCGAGATGGGCCTATGGCCGAAGCGAGACGACCAATGATTTACCGATTCGAAATCAATGCATGAGCATGTTTCAACATTCAGCAACAGAAATTGAAGGTGTCTTTCCATCTACTTTATGTACTGAAATTTGAAAATAAGCAGAATCTAGTCATGTTGCGACAGTCAACATAAATTCACGGCTAACTGGTATCGCGCAGGAGATCGCGATTCAGGAAAACCGATAGAACTAACTTATCGACAATTTCGAGTCACAGCCGGCGGCAGAAATTAGCCTTCGACTAACATGGTAGATGATAAACTCGAGCCAGTGTGACCACTTCAAAACATAAATATTAGGATAAATTCAGTTACAAAAAGTTACAAGCTGAAACAACACTTATCACAAGAAAGCTTGCAGCCACCTTGCGAGCGTACCCCATGTTCATCGACGGTACAGCGTTAAGTTCGGTGGACGCTCCATTCACAAAATGTTCCGAGCACAGAGGATGGTATTGGGGAAACGTCTTTTCGGTTTACGGATGCAACCCACTGCCGCCGGAGATCGGTCATGTGGAAAGCGATGGAGCTTCAGGACATTGCAGCTGCACTCGCATTGACAGATTCCGTGCAAGCTACATAGGTCCTTGGACAGTATTCAACGCTTTCTGTCGTTACTTTTGCACCCTATAACCAAGCAATGGTGTCCCGATGACCGGGGGACTGTCACTATATAAACATGTGGCTCTAATTACGTTTGGGATTTTAAAACACATAAAAAAAGTGCAAACGAAGTTCGGGAAATGCATATACCCAACGCCGGCGAAGCCTCTCATCTAGGACTTGCACTCTTTCTAACGGGGGGAAGCTCCGGTAGCCCTTTCTTCCTCTTCTCTCTCGCCCTCTTTCAGTAAAATGGTCTATAGGTTCCCACAATTCAGCAACTGCAAGATGCCTTGGAATCTTTCTTTTTTGGTAAGGGGTACCACCAAAGTACCTGTATTGTGCATAGGCATCCTTGGGCATTGGACATTATACAGAAACCTCATACACTTGCTAATAACACTCCAAGCCCAATTAAAAGTATTGAATCTTGCCACAAATGAGGTTTTATAATGGTTTTATTAGGAATAACAATATGTATGTAAGTGTACTTGATAAATTGGATTTTTAAAAAAACAGTAGTTCTCCCTCAAGGAAATTCACATATGTGTCTTATGAAGCTTTTGATAACCCATGCTTTTCTTTAGCTTATTATGGGGGACCTGCTCTTAGTACATGAGATTCAGAAGCTCCAGCAGAAGTGTTTTTTGCGAGGCAAATTTTTCTTTCCAGATTTGTGGGCTTTCGGCATTTACTTTCGGTATCAGTAAGAACTTTGCATTTTTTTATGCTTATATTGTAAGATAGCAAGCACAACATATACTTGATATGCATTCTAAAATGGTGCCTGTGGAAACAATTCCCAAAGAAAGAAGCAGCCTCGTGGATAGTTGAGTATGGGCTACAAAATACAGAATAAAGCTGTAGATAAATGGTTCTTCTCATGAAGCCTTAAGTCTCGTTACCCAAGGCCTGCTGCAATTTAGTGCGGTTATTTTTTTTATTTGTAGGGAACTGCCTCAGGCCTTTGGTTTTTTAGTATACCTTTTTATCGAAACAGATTTTTAGTTTGTGCGACTCGGTGGGCATTAGACTGGTGGATAACCGTGACAATATTTTGACTATGTAACCAAAATCTGTTTAGTAACTTTTTAATTAGTGGTCTTGTGAACTATATTGCAATTGCAATTTCAAAGGCAGCCTCTGTGAGAGCCTAACCCGATAGACCCTTTTCAAAAGTTGGTGCCATCTACTGCTGGACGCACAAACTTTTCTTTCGCCATTGTTTGATCCCTCTCCCATACGCACCCGTATGAGAGCAATAAGAAAGCCAGTTTGACACCGAAGGAAGGTGCCTAATGATGCAAATGACTGATCAAAATTTAGAAAGCAATTTTTATTTTCATTTGCCTAATCAAGACAATGTCACTTCCAAAGTTTCCATAGGGGATATACTTAATAAACATCACGTTTCGGTTCAGTTTGACTAGATCCTTGCACAAGTCCATGCAAAAGGAGCGAACGACTGCCATCATCGCTTTAAAAATGGCGTCTCGATTTCGGTGCGACGCAGGCGTATAGTGTACCGGAAAAATAACGCAACTACGCAAAGTAGGCAGTAATTATCAATACTGACAATAGCCACCTTGGCTAGTAACCTCTAGCGACTGCCTGTAGGACTAGCTTTCGATGTGTGTGCATCATCGTTTGTAGGCTACACGATGAGCTGTGTTCGTGATGATTGCACGTCGCCACATCCCCTTCTGCTGCCTTCGCAGTATGAGAACTGCACACGGAAGCAAGCTGCATATGATGCAGCCATTCGAAGCGACAGTAAATAGGTGTAGAATTCACAGAGCAGCTTGTGGCTGCTTTCTGAATCCAGCCCGTCTGGCTGTGTTTGAAAGCACAGCCTCCTTGCAGTATTGGCATATTCCTAGACCACCGCATATTTTCATTGGACATTCCGGTCTTCGAAGGCATGACTGACTTAGATCACGCACTGGGAGGTCTCGGCATCTCGACAGCCTTGACGCGATGACAAACACAATGCCCAAAAACTGACAGCATTTCCGCTTACAGCACTGCACCCCCGGTTGCCTGACTGACTTTTGAAAAATTACTATTTCAAAAATTGGCAAAGAGCAAGGGGCTTTGAGGTATTTGTTGATCAATTTTTGCGTTTTTTTTTGCCCGATTCAAGAACCACATAGTTGGAGCGGAGGAAGTGTAAAGTGGTGTAGCGGTTTCGGGCCCTCATCACATTATTGTCTTGGAGGTGTGGCATCAACCCATCCACCAACTACAAACTGTCGAGATAGTCACGAGCTATGTGAAATGGCTGCATCGCTTTTTTATGCATTGATCAGTTTGCAACTTCTGATGCTATATCCTCTTGCTTTTTGAATCACGTGAATAGACAACGAAACTTCATCAATAAATATCTCAAAGTCCCGTCCCATTTTGCAAATTGTTTTAGGTTGGGCTAGCAGGGTGTCTACCGACGGTGAAAACCGGAAATTGTCAAGGAATTTTAAGACACCTGGAAAAGTCAGGGAATTTTCAAGGAAATTTCCAAAAAGATTGCCGAGTCAGGGAATTTATCCCATGCTTGCCCGCTTATGCTAGAAGCGCCAGGCACGGGCAGGCATAGCCTTGAGCGCAGTCAAGTGCGGCGTCGCAACCCTCTAGGCACGACACGACCCGCCCAAGCTGACGGGCGCAGACGGGCGGGTACTGTCGCAGTTCCGCCACGGCAACTTTCCACGCGCTGCGCTTCACACGAGAGCATGTGCGAAGCTGGCGGCTCACCAGTTTTTTAGTACACTCTGAAGCCACTAAATAAGCTACACCTTAGAGTAGCAACGCTAAAGTATGGCGGCTCAAGATGTACTCACAGTTGCTAGTGAAGCAGAGTAGCAGCAGCCATTTTGTTTAGTTTGTGACGAGTCAGGGGGTGTTGCTCTATTACGAGGAGAAACAGTTACTCTAGCCGACACTAGGTGGCGCGAGTCACCACTCACTCAGAGGAAAACAGGCGTCGTTCATTCATCTACCCTCTGAGGGGTGCGCGCCTAGCGGTCCATTCGTTTGTCAGATATGGTGTTTTCCCGCCTCCCTGTAAACGCAACTGGATGCCTGCACTCTACGAGCTCTGCCACGTGCGTTTGTCGCTTTGGGTTTTGCTTTCTATTGTGTAATTTTCCGGAAGTGGAGATATGCGAAAGTGACTATGTTGCTGTCGAGGAAGTGCTCTTTCAACTTCAACTGGACAAACCCGGACATATTCATGAATGCAAGTTGGATTTGGCCCGTCCCAAATAATCCAAATAGAGCTTACTGCACAATGTGCTGCAAGAAGTTCTCCTTGAGCAACATGGGGAATAGGGCGATTACTACTCATGTTGAGGGTAAGAAACATCAAGCTGCTATGAAATATCTGCAAGGCGTTTCCCAGATCCCAATCGTATTTTTCTAGACTGTGACAAATGTGGATTTGCCTTCCGCGACAGCAACGTGCATTTTGTCCAGAGGTAGCGATAGTGCTTGTAGGGCTCCAGCAATGCATGTAACCACCGCCACGGAAGCTCTTAGGCCCTATGTGAAGGCGTCGGTGGGTGGCTTTTTATTGAAGAACGAAGTCACAAAAGGGACCGAGATCATGTGGTGTTTGAACACTAATTGCTCGTGGATCTTTACGTTTAGCGGCAGCATCTGCCTCGCTGTTTCCGTTGATGTTCCCCATGTGTGAGACCGCCAGAAAAATGCAGCTTAGAAAAGACAAAGTGGGATATATCATATGTCATGGTATCGGCCCATACTTTCAAGAGAAGTTGCTAGCAAGCCTTTCTAGCGTGCCATATCTGCTGGTTGCTTTTGATGAGTTTATGAACAAAGTAACTCAGAGAAAAAAAATGGATTAGCTGGTCAGGTACTGGGACCAAACTGCCTGAAACAGTAAAGCTTGGCCGATGCTGTATTCTAAACATCTTCCAAAGTAAATAAAATATTGTGCTTTGTGAATAGTGTCTATCTATAATATATATTGTTTTGGTGTTGGTAGTTGTGGGTCAGAAAATTCAATTAAAATAGTCATGGAAAACCTGAAAAGTCGGGGAATTAAAAAAAGTGAAAGCCGTTTACAACTTCCTGTAACGCCGAATTGGAGCGCAGCTCTTGAGGAGGAGGAGTGGAGGGTATATTCCTCCTCCTCCCTCGTGATCATGCCTGCTAGTCCTCCTCCTCTCCTGCTCCCCCTCCCTCTCCTTTACCACCTCCTCGTCCTTCAAGCTCCTCCCCTCCCCTCGCCTCCGCCTCCTTGTCTCTTGGGGGGAGGGGAGGGGAGGGGGTAGTCACGTGACCCTCCCGAGGCCACGTGACCCCCGCTGAAGTCATGTGACCCCCTCCCCCCGAGGTCACGTGACCCCCCCGGACCATACAAGACAATGAGGGAAGGAGGAGGAGGGGGAGGAGGAGGAGGGGAGAGGTCCGGGGGGTCACATGACCTCGAGGGGACGGGATCACATGACCTTGGGCGGGCCGTCACGTGACTTCGGCGGGGGGAGGGGAGTCACCCCCCGGGGTCACGTGACCTTGGCGGGGGAGGAGGGGGGAGGAGGAGGAGCGGAGGGGGAGGAGGTGGACGGGGAGGGGCGACGCCGACGCCGACGCCGCCGACGCCGACGCCGCACAGGCTGGAAACGGGTTGTAGGGACTGGACGCACCGACAAGCGAGTCCAGTCTCGACACAGGAAAAAAGAGAAAAAGAGACGCGCGCGCTAGCTATACGCTCACGCGCTCACGCGCTCACGCGCTCACGAAGAGCAGTTCCTGCCGAGACACCACTGAAATAGAACGTTGTTTTGGAACGTCCGTCTCCTGCCTGTTTCTTTCACCACATTTGGTGACCCGGACGTGATCGCCAACTAGAACGGGTGAAATGCAGCAAGGAGAGCCTTCGGACCCGCCGCCAGCCACTGTTGCAGCAGCCGCAGTACGCCTTCCACCATACTGGGACCGCAATCCGCGAGTTTGGTTCCTGCAAGCGGAATCACAATTCCACCTCGCTGGGGTCACCACACAAGGTCGGAAGTACCACCACGTCGTCTCGGCTCTTTCACCAGCTGCAGCCGACGAAGTCTACGACGTTCTGGCAAATCCCTCTCCAGCAACACCGTATGACCAACTGAAGAATGCTCTGCTCCAGCGCACCGAGATTTCGGAACGCTCCCGCGTGCAGCAGCTTCTCTCGGCGGAAGAGCTCGGGGATCGGCGGCCAAGCCAGTTGCTGCGACGCATGACCAAGCTTCTTGGAGAGCGCTCTAACAATCTGGACGACGTATTCCTCCGCGAGCTGTTCTTGCAAAGGCTACCTTCCAATGTCCAGATGGTTTTGGCAACAGCAACAACGTTGGACCTCACCGGACTTGCCGCGCTGGCCGACGCCGTGATGGAGGTGACCACTCCATCCGTCGCCAATGTTACCGTGGCTCCACAGCAACCAACAGCTCTGGACTCTGGATCGGCCGCTAACAGCCAGCCTCCCCAGGCCAACATCGAGCAGCTTTGCCAACGTTTGGAGGAGATCGTCGTCGCAGCTACACGAGGCCGCACCCCGCACCCTCGTGAGTCACATCGCAGACGTTCGACGTCTCGTCGGGCACGCGGCGAATCGACATCTCGTCGGACACGCGGCGAAAACACGCGATCACCGAGCCCTGCCGGGGTCTGCTACTACCACCGCCGCTTCGGTGCCAACGCCCGGCATTGCCTTCGCCCCTGTTCATGGCAGGGAAACAGGCCGGCCGACCTCTAGAGGCGACGAGTGGTCAGGGCCCCGACGAAAGTCGCCTTTTCTACGTGTGTGACCGAGCCACCAAGAACCGGTACCTCGTCGACACCGGAGCCGAGGTCAGCGCAGTTCCAGCAACGCGTGCCGACCGTTCCTTGACACCGATCTATTTTCTACGCGCAGTGAACAACAGCGCGATCCCAGTCTACCGAGAACGGTCGATCACCCTTAACCTCGGCCTCCGGCGGGTTTTCCGGTGGATCTTCCTGGTGGCCGACGTCAGTCAAGGAATTCTCGGCGCGGACTTTCTCAACCACTACAAGCTCCTCGTGGACGTTAGAAGCAGGCGACTGATAGACTCCACCACGCGACTTTCCATCCATGGTATCGCAACGGACGACAATGCAGTCTACACCTCTGCCTGCACGATCCCGGAAGAAGCGTTCAAGACTTCGCTGAGTAAGTTTCCGAGCCTTACTCAGTCACCTGATGGGACCAAACCCGTCTCGCACGACGTGCAACACCACATCGTGACGACAGGACCACCTGTTTACTGTCGTCCCCGCCGTCTAGCCCCAGAGAAACTCCGCGATGCTCGCCAAGAGTTTGAACACATGTTGGACCTTGGCATCATCCGACCCTCGTCTAGCAGCTGGGCGTCTCCATTACACATGGTGTCAAAGAAAAATGGAGACTGGCGGCCGTGTGGCGATTATCGTGCCCTAAATAAGAACACTGTACCGGACAGGTATCCTCTACCTAACATCCAGGATTTTACGGTGAACCTACAAGGCGCGAAGGTCTTCTCCAAAATCGATCTGACGCGGGCCTACCACCAAATTCCCGTGGCCGAAGAAGATATCCCGAAAACAGCGATCACGACACCGTTTGGACTTTTTGAATTTCTCCGCATGCCCTTTGGCCTCAGAAATGCGGCTCAGTCATTCCAACGGTTCATCGACGCTGTCACACGAGGGTTACCTTTTGTCTTCGCGTACGTAGACGATTTGCTCATAGCAAGCAAGTCACCGGAAGAGCACACGAACCACTTGGACCTCCTCTTTGAACGACTGCGCAGCCACGGCATTGTCATCAACGCCGCGAAAAGTGTGTTCGGAGTTCCGGAATTGGAATTTCTTGGTCATCAGCTTGACTCCTCGGGCATTCGCCCATTGCCATCAAAGGTACAAGCCATCAAAGATTTCCCGAGGCCGACTTCGACCACCAAACTTCGCCAGTTTCTCGGTTTGGTAAATTTTTACCGACGTTTCGTTCCGAACTGCGCCAAACTGCTCGAACATCTTGAGGTCCTCCTAACGAAACAAGAGCGAAAAACGTCATCCCTTCCTTGGAACGAAGATGCGGAACGCGCTTTCTGCGAGGTAAAGAACTCACTTGCAGAAGCAACAATGCTAGTACATCCTAAGCATGATGCCCCAACATCGCTGATGACTGACGCATCTGCCACAGCCGTAGGAGCGGTGCTACAACAAAAAGTCGACGGAGAGTGGCGGCCGATTGGTTTCTTTTCTAAGAAGCTCAAGCCAGCGCAAACGCGCTACAGCGTTTTCGGACGTGAACTCTTGGCTGCCTACTTGGCTGTACGACACTTTCGACATTTCGTCGAGGGACGGCCATTTACCATATGGACTGACCACAAGCCCCTAACTTACGCCATCAGCAATTCCGGCTCTCATTACACACCACGTGAGATTCGCCAGCTAGCCTTCTTGGCCGAATTCACAACGGACATTCGGCACGTTAAAGGAGTTGACAACGTCCCCGCTGATGTCCTCAGCCGGATCGACGCCGTGAACACCCCAGCCTGTTCTGCTGTAGACTTGGAGTTGCTGGCTCGTCTACAGACCACCGACGAAGAATTGCAAGCCCTGCGCAGTTCATCCACGTCACTGCAACTGCGGGATGTAAGCTTTCCAGAAGGCACCACCGTGATCTGCGACCTGTCAACGGGAACGCCCAGGCCTTTTGTACCACGTGAACTGCGACGACAGCTTTTCGAAGCGATTCACTGCTTGTCGCACCCGGGTATACGAGCATCCCAGAAGCTCCTCTGCGACCGCTACGTTTGGCCCCGGATAAAATCCGACGTTCGTGATTGGGTGCGTTCCTGCATCGCATGCCAGTGCGCGAAAGTACAGCGGCATCCGGTGCCACCAAGTCGACAATTCCTACAGCCTGACAGCCGTTTCAACAAGATCCATCTGGACCTAGTAGGACCCCTACCGATTTCTCAGGGACAGCGCTACATCCTAACGTGTGTCGACAGATTCACACGATGGCCAGAAGCAACCCCACTGCCCGATATCACCGCCGCCACTGTCGCTGAGGCGTTTATCGTTACGTGGGTATCCCGGTTTGGCTGCCCCTCAGAGATTGTCACCGACAGGGGTCGACAATTCGAGTCGGCACTCTTTGCCGAGCTCACTCGATTGCTCGGAACCAACCGCTTGAGAACGACTGCCTACCACCCACAGTCCAACGGGATGGTAGAACGATTTCATCGACATTTGAAATCGGCCCTTGCAGCTCAGGGTGGTCCCTCGGATTGGGTTCGTCATCTCCCCCTTGTGCTTCTTGGAATCCGGACAGCCTTGAAGGCGGACATCGGATGCTCCACCGCCGAGCTGGTGTACGGCACTGCACTTCGCTTGCCATCAGATTTTTTTGAAGTGGAACTGCCTCAACAACAAAGGCAGTTGGACTATGTAGAACAACTCAAGCAAATTTTTATCAATTTGCGACCGGTGCCTACACGGCAAGGAACTTCAAAGTCTCCCTACGTGACCCAGGACCTCCAAGACGCCACTCATGTTTTCGTACGACAATCGCAAAAGAAGCCACTGCGCCCACATTACATCGGACCTTTTCCAGTGGTCGAAAAGAGAAGCGACACGTTTGTCCTGCGTGTCAACGGCAAGAATGACACCGTTGCATTGGAGAGACTAAAGCCGGCACATATTGAGCAAGAGCATGTGCAGGGAATAGCGCTACGTGACATCGACCAGACGACAGAGAAAAGCCAACTTCGTTGGCACTCGAATGTTTCTGTGCTTTGATCGTTCGTCCTACCTCCTCTCTAAGGGGGGGCATATCTGTAGGGACTGGACGCACCGACAAGCGAGTCCAGTCTCGACACAGGAAAAAAGAGAAAAAGAGACGCGCGCGCTAGCTATACGCTCACGCGCTCACGCGCTCACGCGCTCACGAAGAGCAGTTCCTGCCGAGACACCACTGAAATAGAACGTTGTTTTGGAACGTCCGTCTCCTGCCTGTTTCTTTCACCACAGGGTCATGTGACCCCCTCCCCCCGAGGTCACGTGACCCGCCCGGACCATACTACACAATGAGGGGAGGAAGAGGAGAAGGAGGGGGAGGAGGAGAAGGGGAGGAGGAGGGGGAGGAGGAGGAGAGGGAGGGGCGCAATTACGCCGACGGCGACGCCGACGGCGACGCCAACGGCGACGCCGACACCGCTCAAGCTGGAAACGGGCCCCTAAGAGCTACGCTCTAAAAAAAAGCAATTTGGTAGACACCCTGGTTAGGCTCTAATTTTAGCTGCCTCAAAACTGCAATTACGACATGGCCCATAAGACTACCAATCAAAAAGCTAATGAACAAATTTAGGTTAATATTCAAAATATTGTTGTGGTTATCCACCCATCTAATGTCCCCCGAGTCCAAACAACACCCAGTGAAGACAGCATCGATGTAGCAATGAGCTCTCTTTTTCAAGAAGCTGTTCCAGTTTTTACCTGTGTTCTGTTCTTCCTTACTTTTTTTTTAATTCTCTCGGATGTTGTTTAAGGTCTTGCGTCCACTGGTACAGTCACCTACTTAATATTACATTATATTCCAGGTTCCCTCGCGGCGTACATCGAGAGGAACCCGTCACCAGTTGTGTCGGCCGCCCTGAGACTTGGTCAGCTCAACACGCACATCCGGAGGCTGCTGGGAGACGAGAACAGAAAGCGCCACTGAGCAGCAGCAGCAGCAGCAGCAGATTTTATACTCCGTGACACCAGTTGCGTGCAGTACAGGCAAAGGCAACGCCAAGCGAGGGGAGAAAGGGCAAGCAATAAGAAGGCTGGCTAGGAGGAGAGAATACTCTTTTCTTGAACGTTCCTGGTGCTGTCCCTTTGTCCCCTCATCCTCCTTCGCCCTCCTCTCCCATCCCGCCTTCCTAGTGTTCGCCCTTTCTCTCTTCGGCTGGCGTTGCGTTCGCCTGCACTGCACACAGCTACAGAGTATAACTGCACTTTTATTGGAATTAACTTTCTGTTGCTTTTATACTAAAGCATTTTTTTTTTATATTTTTAGTAACGGAGTGTCACATCTGAAGCTGAGTTCTTGTTTTTAATGTTTCTTTTCTAAAAAAAAACAAAAAAGAAAATTACGATGCTCATTTAATTTGGCACATATATTCTACATGTTACTGGCTTTGAACTGAACCGAAAATAAAATAAATATGAGCATGCAGCATGCAAGAAAAAAAATAGTTCTTTCTAGTCATAAGCCATCAGGGGGAAACTTTTATATTTTAAATTTTTTTACGTTATAGTGTAGTGAATTCTTAAAACATTTCGGATCAAACTGTTGGCAAAATATTTTATCATAAGCTGTAAAAGTTCTAGTGTAATCGCATAAGTAGTTTCTTAGTCAAGGTATATTAAATTTATAAAAATGTCATTTTGGGAGCGCTGATTTTGGTGCCATATATAAGTGGCTTGGGACGCTCATTCGCTCTTGTTGCTTGCTGGTTTTGTTCCCCAGACTGCATATAATGTTTTAACACTAAAACTGCAAAATCAGTTTGAGCTAGAGGCAGCAAATGTTTGGAATATACACTTATAATTCTAATCTTTCATATTTTTAGGTCACTATAGAAAAGCAAACATTTTTAATATATTTGTAACCATCTCGTCGTTTAGGATTTTATGGCAAGAGGCAAAGCTCTTAATATAGTACATGGGCGAAAAAGTATATAACCGCATTAAACAAATTGGAAATGGAAGTTTCATATAGTTTTGTACCAGGAATGGGCAGTATTTCAAATACAAGTATTTGAAATACGTATTTCAAATACTTTGTGTATTTTGCATTTGTATTTAATTACAAATTGGGTAATGTATTTGACGTATTTATTTAAATACAAAAACGTGGGTATTTCAAATACAATTGTAATTAAATACAATTTTTTGTGGGCGAAAATACATCCCTCAAATTTATTGTCACTGTCCAGAGCGGGAAGAAAACTACGTTCTGCACCGAATGCAGTGTCTCTCAATCAAGCACAAGCGTTTAGTGACTTTGTGATTACGGTGCTAGTCCAGGGCAAGAATAGTGACGAAATCGACGTTCACAGGCAGACTGGCTAAATAAGTGCCTGTGACAAATTGTGATGCTTTCCAGCCTGATTTCTATCCATATTTTTGCCTGGAACATTCTAAATGTGCGGGTCGTCCAGATTTTCGTAACTGGTGCGAGTTGCAACAATACAAAAATTATCTAGCTAGTGCTGCGCGTCTTGGTCGTCTCGGTTCTCTGTTGGTCTAATACCAAAATGTAATCGACAAAAAAGCTGCTTGAAGCTCTGTTCTTTTTTCATTTTTACGTCCAAGCTGACTAGATTTTTTTTAATTATATTTCTATTACGTTACTAGAGCCTCGCACACTGACTCCCAAGTGTGCGCAAATTTTGAGAAATGTATTTGGAAAAGTATTTGGAGGAGACCAAATACATTTGGTTGCATTTGTATCTTGTACTTAAATGCTTTTTGGAAATGTAATTAGATTTGTAATTAAATACAATTTTGACGAAGTATTCTCTATTTGTATTTCGATACATATTTGGATGTATTTTGCCCATTCCTGTTTTGTACCTATGTGGTACAGTGTTTATGATCTGCTGGTATATAGCTTTATTATGCTTCCATTTGGAAAATAAAAAGGTGTGTTATGAAGCTTGAGTTTCTTCGAAATGAAAGATAAGTTGGAAACCTAGCTCTTTAGATAGGTTTTCTAAGAAAATCTACCAAACCGTTGCATTTACACTGTCAGTGTTCGACAATGACCTTGAACAAGGTTGCGTGCTGGTTCATGCCTGTGAAACCAGCACAATTTTATACAACTCGCTTCTGTGCTTTGTCTCATATTATGATTTTAATGTATAATCTAATTCACTTGTATGGTCCTTGCAGGTACGTAGCCAGGGGGGGGGGGGCAAGGGGCCCGGGCCCCCCCCCCCCCCGAAATCTTCCATTTTGCTGGGGCCTCCTCTCCCCCCTCCTCTTCATACAGCATTTTGTCATGGGCAGCCCCCCCCCCCCCCCCCCCCCCCCCCGAAACAAAATCCTGGGTACGTTTCTGGATCCTTGTATGAAGCAGGTACGCGGACGGTGTGCCTGCCTTATGGTTCCACAATGCAGTCATCGCCCTTTCGCTGGTATAGGATGTCCCCTAATACGTTATGCTTGTATGGTTTCGTTCGTCAGCATGGTTCCGCGCGCCTCCATCGTTCCGAGCGACTACATGCAGTCGCTCGGAACCATGGAGGCGCACGGAACCACAACGGAGGTGCACGGAACCATGCAGGCGAACGGAACCATGCAGGCGAACGGAATCATGTAGGCGAACGGAACCATGTATGGTTCCGTGCACCTCCATGGTTCCGTCTTAATCCACTACGTTGGTATAGGATGTCCCATAATACGACACGCTCGTATGGTTCCGTCGACCTGTATCATTCCATCTCAATCCGCTATGGTGGAGCCACCTTTTCGCTGGTATAGGATGTCCCATATTACGGTTACGCTTGTATGAGGATTTTCCATCATCTTTCCGTCAGCAAAATTTTCCAACAGGGTAATAACGAAACTACCTTTAATTTTGACAACCGTTAATTGTATGCATAGTTTACAGTAAGATTCCTGGTTCGATAATGCAGTTTGAATGTTACCGTGGAAAAATTCTTACCGTTTTTTTTCGTTTTTTTTGTTGCTTTTTTTTATTTTGCTAGGGACTTATTATTGAAATTTTTATCGGCCATCTATGATGGTTCAATTGCCCCAAAAATAGGCTGGTAGCACTAAACCTCCTCTATCTTTAATGCTGCTCAAGATTCAATCTTCTGCAAAGGTTCGACGAAGGCGGTTTTTGGTGCAGTAAACCTGCAGCGCTGATGCGTGACGGGGCAGCCCTGCAGGCGGCTGAAGCGAGCAGCTCCAAAGAGGGCACTAAATCCTGACAAGCTGGCAGCCGTGGGCAGTAAGTTGTTTTTCTTTGCTCCCAACACGCCAAACTCTGCCATTTATTTGCAGCCATCAATATGACTTCATTTTGACCACTTTGAGAGCTTTGTCTCTCTATTCAGTAAATTCAAAATAAAGTATCTGGAAAAAAGTTCCTTGCATGTGATGAAAGGCACCATTCCTTATGGTAATGAAAAGCCTGGCAGAAAAATGTCGTAATCATGGACATTTTCACAGAGTTACAATACTAACATCTACAAGAAATCGCTCTAATTATTAAAGGGTAAGGTGATGCTTCTACATACTCAACAATCTTTAGTAACTTAGTTAAAAAATTTTCAATTGTTTTTAATATTGTCATGCTTGTTGTGAACATGCGGAAATTTAATTAGTCTTTTTGACCTCCGTTTACTGAAGATCGCTTTGGCTGTCGTCACAGACGTAGCTTTGTTTACAGCTGCACGTATCAATATTCTCCACCGAGTCACAATAGGCTATGGTTGCAGAAGAACATCGGGTACTATTACGGCGAAGAGGAGCTGAAGCGCCATGACACCTTGTGCTCGGGACTATTAGTGCTGTTTGTCGTGTCACTGGGCAAACACTTGCGCACGCTGGGGCCGAGAAACATTCACTCGTGTGCTCGTTACGGCGTTGCAATTTCCGCCACAATGGGTGCACCATGCAACCCGTTATCAATGGGCACATCTGAATTCAACATTTTTAGATAATATGCCTCTTCATCTTCGCCAGTGAAAGGACAAATTAAATTGTTATTTACCAACTTGATTTTTACTTGAGCGAATTTAACTTTCTTTCATAAACAGCTGCACCATTAAGCCTTTCTGGAGCATTCGCCAACACGCCCTCAGAACCGTCATTTTTGCCGCTGCTTTGTAAGTGAGAAATTTAGCTGGGGAATGTTTTAACAGGCATCACACAGCAGTGACGCATGGCTTGCCGGTATAGTGCTCATCCCATATGACAACAGGCAGATGTGGGAGTCGAGGGAAACCCGTAGTCCTGGATTCCACTGCGCGATCCTTGGTTCTCTCGAATGGCAACAGTTATGCATGAAACCGTTTGCGAAATTTAATCAAAACAAGCTCTGCGGTACTTTTGTGCACAGCTTCGATTTGTGCAACAGTCAGTTTGCAATAACTGGCTCACACTCAGATCTTGGTTCATATTTCTGGAGAATGACAAGTGTGACCTTGTCACCCTCGCACTCAATGCCGCACCTGCCGTCTCGCTACCAGACACCCGGAAGTGCACTGTGGCACTAGCACACGAGGAGATTTGTCTCTCCGTCAGTTGGTGCCAGTGATTACGGAGCAATGTGCCAGGCGGCGCTGATAGCGCCACACGTGCCGTTTCAGCTCATACCGGCCGCGATTGTACCTGATGTCAAGAAGCAGCAGTTCTTAAAGAGGCATGGTAAACTAACGTTTAATGCCTTGTAAAAGAGAGCACTCCCACTGGTTGAGAGAGCATCTTCAGACTACAACCCTTCACCTGCACCAATCCGGTTTTGAGGCTTCCTTGGTCATGTTAGCACATGGGCAAATGGGCTTCGACTTAGACATCAAATGAGGTTTAACTCTTTGTTCTTCTGGGCTCCTCATCGCAGGATAGTAAAATAACTTCTCATTGTTGACACTTATGATTTTAAACTTTTTTATTGCTTAATTCACGGCTAGCTCATCTCCCAAGCACGATGACAGGCTCCATAAAGCAAGTCTTTACAGTCTTTCTGTGAGCAATGCTC